CCCCCAAACCTTGCCATGCAAACCCAATACAAGGATCATTATTTTCATTTAGAGGAGGTTTTTCTGTGACTGCCTGTATGGGTGATATTGCAGTTTTATGTCTTTCCTGTGGCAGTTTCTGGTCAATGGTCTTCTGCATGCTGGCACAGCCCTGCACCCAGCTGTGGGGCACCTATCCATGGCATAGTGAGGGTTGGGAACCATCCTGAAGCCCTGCCTGGGTGGCCGAGCTGGTGGAGCCCATCCACTGGAGACCTCCTTCCTGACCACTAACTCTTCGGGTGTGATTTGTGTTGGGGCAGATTTCTACTCTGCAAAGTACCCCAAGGTGATGTCTTTGTCCTTCCATCACGTGGCCAAGCGCTTGGTCCAGCAGCTGGCTGCCTCCGGTAGGAACCACCACCACGTTTCAGCTGAGTCGAAGCTCCTTGTGTACGTGTGGCGAGAAAAGGAGCCGAGTCCGCTCGTACTGCTCTTACTCATTCTTTTTTACGCCTCTGCTGAGCTCTTCCCTTCCGTGAACTGCTAGTTATTGGGAAATAGCTTGTTTTGTTTTGTTTTTCTCAGCGAGATGGTTTCCGAGTGGGAAGGAGCAGCCTAGCGGGATGCCAGGGTGGTGTATTGGGTCTGGCTGAGATGGAGTTAATTGTCCCCACAGCAGCCCTCATAGTGCTGTGCTGTGCATTGGTAGCTAGCAAGTGTTGGTAACACACCAGTGTTTTGGCTACTGCTGAGCAGTGCCAGCACACATCAAGACTGTCTCTCCAACATTTCTTGCCCTCCCTCAGCAGCAGGCTGAGGCTGGGCAAGATCTTGGGAGGGGACACAGCCAGGACAGCTGACCCGAACTGACCAAAGAGATATTCCATACCACATGATGTTTGCTCAGCAATGAGAAACTGAGAGGTAGGGGGAGGAACAGGGCAGGGGCATTCAGGTTTTTTTACAACATTTGTCTTCCAGAGTAAGGAGTATGCCTACTGAAGCCTTCCTTCCCAGGAAGTGGCCGGACATCGCCTGCTGATGGGAAGTAGAGAATAATCTTTTGCTTTTTGCTTTGCTTCTGCACACGGCCTTTTGCTTTAGCTACATTAAACTGTCTTATCTTGACCCATGAGTTTGGTGTTGGTTTTTTCCATCTTAATTTTCTCCCCTCCCTGCCTTGCTGAGGAGGGGAGTGATAAAGCAGTTTGGTGGACACCTGGCGTCCAGCCGAGGTTAAACCACCACAGGTGGTTTAGTGTGGGTTTAGGCTTTTTATCATTAGAAATAATGTATTGGCAACAAAACTCATGGAAGTCTCAGAGCTTGGCTCCACTGAAAATGGATGGGATGTAAGTTCACCTTTTATTTCCTTGTGGTACTCAAGTCTGGTTTAAAACAGGGGAGGAATTTGTGCTTCACCCTGTCACCTCCGCTCTCTGAAAAGCAGAAAAAGCAACGAAAACTTGAAGCAAGCAATAGGAAAAAACTCTTCTTCCACATTAAAACTGCGCGGGCTGAGCACCAACAGATGTGAATAATTCATTCCACTGAAGACACAAAAACAACCAAGCTTTTCTTGCCCCTTTCCAGTAGCGGAACAAGCTAGTGGTGTTTTCCCTGCACTCCCCATCCCCAGCTCTCCGTTGGGCGCGGGAGTCTGCAGTCTCCGCTCCATCCCCACGTGGGGAGGGGACTGTACCCATCCCTAAGCACCCGCTATGGGGATGACATTGAACGGGAGCAAATTGAAGTCCTTGAGAACAAGGGCTGGGCTTTTCCTCTGTGAGTTTTTAAAGACCACCCATACTCCTCCTCACTGTAGATCCCATGCAGTCCAAAGCAGGGGTATGTGTTAATCCCATAATATTTGGGGCTTCCCTGCACCGATGAGCATCATGGCCATGAGCACTGGTGCACATTGGCTCACTGGGAGAGCTTCATGCCAGGTTCCAGCCCCACGGTGCTGGGATCAAGCAGCAGTGGTTGGGATGCTGCCACGTGGGATGCTGCTGCCCGCCTCCATCCCCTCTGCGGTGATAGGGTTTGAAAGCTCTGTACAGCCCCGGGAAGCTCTTACTGTACATGAAATGATTTTCTTGCTGGTCATTTCCTCTTCTTTTGAGGTCGGGTTAAGGACCTGTGGCAGGATGATGCAGTTCTGATATAAACTATAAATCGATGCTCTGCTTCCTTCTGCAGGTCTCTTGGGCTGTCTCCAGTGAAGCATTCAGCAGCACAACTCAGTGCTTTGAATACTTTCCACTCAAGAAAAAAGAAAAAAGAGTCATTCAGCCAAAAACAGGAAACACATGGCCCAAGGCAGATCTGATTTGAGTATACCTGTTCTTATAATGAGCCCGGCAGCAGATATTAACCCCACTGCAGCAGAGGCTCCGTGAACCGCGGTATGGGCTGCAGCGTCTGTCTCTGGCTGCTGATCTCTCTCGGCCGTGTTTGGGGTATGTATGTTTTCCTTTCTATGAAATGCTCCATTCAGACTGTTTGGGGATTTTTCTTGGATATTAAGACCTTTAGAAATCACGAGCTGTGAGCTGGGTGGATGGGCAGATCGAGTATACATATTCATATAGAAGATAAATGGCTCGCAACTCTGAGCTGGATGTGTGGTGCATCCCTAATATGCTTCTACTAGTTAGGCTGAGGGAGGAGAGAATAAAAGATGATGAACGAGCAAAGATAGTGATGGACAAAGTGTAGCTGCAATAGTGAAATACTTTACTGTGTGTTTTAATGGGGTATTAATAGCATTGAGCAAATAATTTAGTACCAGATATGAACTGGGTTACTTGAGATTAAGATCCTTGGTGGATTGTCTCACTCTGTGTGACACTGAGTGTCTCGGATCAAGAGGTGCCAGCAGGCTGGGAGATGGTACTGAAGCAATGAAATGTGTATAAGGCGAGTGGAAAGGGACTGGCAGTGAGGCAATGCCTGTTTTCTGAGTGCCCAGAGAGCCCTGGCCAGCTGTGGATGGTGTCCTGGGGATGATGATGTCCTGGATGCATCGAAATCCCCCCCAGACCAGCTGATCGGGGAATGACGACCCCCCGGACTCCCCCACCAGGGCTCCTGGGTCCTTTCCTCCCAGCCCATCAGTAGTTATGGGATGATGCTGCAAAATCCGTTGTGATGGCACTGAGCCTGTGCAAAAGCACTCAGGTGAGTCAGGGTCCCCAAGCAGAGCAGAGCAAAGGGAGCTCTGAGTAATCCTGACCCTCTTCTTGGTGCCAGCCTGATGTTTGTTCCCCTTTCCTGGGGACACTGTGTGTCCCCGCAGCCCCACGAGCCCTCTGCCACTGCATCTGTGTAAAACAAAGGGCTCGGCCAGGAAACAGGAGACCTTGGCAGAGCTGGGGTTTCTCCTTGTCTCTGCTGGCTCACTGTTACTAGAATACCTGCGTTTAAAATCCCCCTGGGGTTTTCTGCCTAGCCAGCACACTGAAAGTCCCACGAGCCCAATACCTGATGTGAGGGCTGCTCCAGACCTAGCACCATGCCAGTACGGATCGCTTGCCTTCCTCCAGCCCCTTCATCTGGGCTTCAACACAGATGATTTCAGATCTCTTTACATCCCTCTTCCTGTAGCCTTGCTCCAGCCGTGTCATCTTCCCCTCCAGGGCAGAGAGTTTTGTAAACATGATGTAAAAAGGGCTTTTCCATTTGGTAATTAATAAGGAGCCTAACCGCTGCATGTGTTGCTGAGAAAACACAACATCCACCTGCGTGCTGTAAATGTATCAGCAAAAAAATGTGTGAGGCACTGGTTCAGCCAGACTGCAGGGTTTCTGAGGGATGACAGCCGTGTCCGCATGGCTGCTTCGATGCTGGGGAGATGTTGTCCACAGGGACAGCTCAGAAACTGCCATGTTTTATGCCACAGAGGGGGGGAAAATAAGTGATGGCACTCACTTGGGAGAGTGTTTGCTCTGTGGCTTTTACTGGAACCATACACGCCACAGGAGTGGTGGATACTGGTCTTATTTGGGCCTCCCCAGACCTGTTCTTCTGTGGTACCTCCCACTCTTTTCTCTCTGGAGCAAAGCCTCACCCCAATGGAAAGAAGTTGGTAGAAAACATGGGGGTGACAAGGTGAGGTCCCTTCCACGCTGGCATTGCTGGCAGCAGTTGTGAGCTGGCACCTGTCCCCACACTGTTTCCTACAAAAATAAACTCCTTTGCCCGGGGGTGTGGGCAAATATGAATCACTGCCTTGCAGCCAAAGACAGGAAAGGGTCTAGGGGAGAAGATCCTCCCGCGTGCTCTCCAGGAAATCTGGGTGGTCAGGATGCTTTGGGACACATGGGAGATGCTTGGACCCATCGTCTTAAGAGCAACTTTGCTGTGGCTACCAAGAAGCACACCTGGGACCACTGCGGCCAGGAGAAGGACAACCTGGGATTTACACCTGAGCTCACCTCTAGGAGGTTGCACTTCCTTCAGTTTCTACAAGAAAAGTCCCACTGAAAGTTTCTGGAGCTGAGGCACTTGAGGGAGGTGGGTGCCATGATGTGCACCCAACTGCAGGCTTTGGCCAAGAACCACCCAGCATCGCTTCCTTCTGGACTGCCCTGGTGTCACAGGGACTTCTCCAGGCTGATCCCACTGCTGTCAGCACCCTTCTCCCTGGACCAGCATCCCCACTGGTCTGGGACTGCAAGGACCTTCCCCTGCTTGAGGCATCCCTGCTCCATGGAGTGATGTTTCGCTGTGCTGGCTGGCTGTTGTTGTGCCATCCTTAAATCAGGATTCGGCCGTGACATGTGATGCCCAACATGGGAGAACACTGAGGCTGATGCAAATGAAGAATCTCTCACCTCGCTCTGGGAAGGTGAGGGTGACAAGGAAGAGCAGAGGAAGGCAACACTTCCCCTCTGGCTCCTGAGCCGAGCACTCCATCTGCATCCTTTGGGGTCGAGGATGTGGTACTGAGGGCTGGGGGTCACTCCTTTGGTTCTGGGAATGATCCTGTGGGGTGGGCATGGGGCAGAGCTCACACTGAGCCCTGATCTACAGCACAACTTGTGTTCCCACGCACTGGTAATCGCTGGTGCAGGATGTGGTGGATAACCCAGAGCTCAAAAACGCGGTTAGATAATCTGTTCAATTTTCGACTGACTTGTCGCATGCAACCTAAGCCATCCCCAATGTGCACGTTACCAGGGTGGATCCAATGCCGTCACTGGCTACCACAGCTCCATGGGCATCCGTCCTCCTCTGGCAGAGCTAGGATGGGTGGGGGACAGTTGCTCTGAGCTCCCCATGCCTCCCTGCCTGCCTCAGCCCTTCTCTCCTCTCTCCTCCCAGGCATGGGCCACGGGGCAAGGGAGATGGTGCTGGGCACCTTGGGAAAGGCGACGATTTTGCGGATTCCCCCTGAACTCCAGAGCATCACCAAGAACTTCGGGGAGGCTGTCTGGAAGCGGGACACGGAGGACCCACAGAGGAAGCTTGTCCTGCTCAAGTACCTAGATGGCAACTACACCAACTACATGCAGGGACGAACTCGCTTCCATGAGTCAGACTTCTCCCTGGAAATTCTGAACACCAGCCGGCAGGACAGACAGCTCTACGAGTACTTAGTCAGCAAGGGGTCGGAGGAGAAAGTCTGGCAGATACAGCTGGAGGTGTATGGTAAGACATGCTGTTTTGGGAGGACTGTGCTGGATGCTCCCAGCCTCTTGCGGTGCTGGGAGCAGGTCTGGGAGGTGCGTGGTGGTCAAGGTGGGTGGGAGATGCCCACCCTGATGTCAAGGTGCTGCAGTGAGTCCAGGACCCTCTTGCAATCCCATCTGGATACGCACAGGAGCATTTGGGTCGATGCAGACCACGCCCCTCTCTAATGCCATTTGCAGTGGGTCTGGCATCAGACCGGTTCCTTGCCATCCCCTTGGGATTTAGGAGAGACCAGCAGGATTTCCCAGGCAGGGGCCAACACAACGTTTGTATCCTTCCCCAGACACAAACCTTTGCCCCCTCCCTCCCTCTCTCCAGAGCCGGTGTCCAATCCCAGCATCCAGATCCTCAACTGGGTGCTGGCCAACAGCAGCTGCACCATCACCCTCAACTGCACAGCGGAGCAAGGGGACAACGTCTCTTACAGCTGGGGCAGCCAGGACACCAGCACCTCGGGGCTCTGCTCCCACAACGGCAGCCTCCTGCACCTCTCCTACTCCCTGCAGAATGCAAGCATTGCCTGCGCCTGCACGGCCAGCAACCCCGTCAGCAGCCAGGTCGTCCCCTTTGACTCCTCCGAGTGCAGCTACGAGCAAGGGGGTAAGTCGCCAGTTGCTGACCCAGCTCTCTCCAGCCTCACGGCCCTGCTTTTGCTTTGTAGGGGACTTTTTCATGATGCAGTCTCAAAGGAGTCTTTTGCAAGAAAAGTGGCTGCTGCGTCACTTGCTCAGGGTTGCCCAGTTCTTCCAGTAAACGCCAGCCATGGAGCTGTGGGTCCCACCTGCCTCCCCAGCCAGCCCAGCCACCACACTTGCCGTGCCTCGGTGCTCAAGGTTTATTTTAAATACGAAACTCGTATGCTGGGTGGCTTGGGGAGGACAAAAACCTCTGTGACAACTTCCCCTTCGGAGGTTCTCGGGGCAAAAGTCACCGGGGTTTTCTAGCACTTCCTCGTGACGTGGGGGTTTTCATCTGAGCTGGGAAGCGTGGTGGCTGCCCCTTTCCCCGGGGACCCAGAGGCAAAGTCATGTCTCTGCTGGGGCTCTCACAGTGACCTGTGCTGAGAAAATATATGCCTGTGGGGAAAAATGGTCGGGACTCTTGCTTAAGATGCTGAAATTGGATTCTCCAGGGGGGGATTGGGCTTGTTTCTCACCCCCTTGCCCCAAAACCCTTTGCATCATGGGACACCCCTCATGATGTCACCGTTAGTGGTCTAGGAGCGGGGCCACCCTGTGATGGGAGCCTGGCTGGTGGCTGGAGCTGCAGAGCTCTGTCCCAGGGCCCTCTTCTCACACACCTGCAATGCAAGATCATTGTACAAAGGGGTTGCCTCTCCCCAGGCCTCTGTAAAGCCACCGAAGACATTTTCAAGGCTTTATCTGTCCCCGATCTGGCCCCCAGCAGGTTTTGCACTGACTGTTGCAGTCTGGAGGCGATTAGACAGAGTTCTGCTTAAGAGGCATTTCCTGCCCCTTGTTTCCTGTTCTACCGACATCATCAGCCTGAAACTAGGTGATGAGATGAAGTAAGATGTTAGCAGCCCATTCGCTGAGCTCTGGGTGACCCTGGGCCCCAGGGCTGTTGGCTAACGCCCTCCCCTCTTTGCCCCCCATCCCAGGCAGCACCAGGCTGAGGACAGAGCATCTCGTGCTGATGGTGGTGCTGCCCATCGCTGCAGTGATGATGCTCACCGGCTTTGTGGCCACCCATTTGGCCATGCCCGTTGGTGAGTGCCGCAAGGGAGGGGTGCTAGGGTGCTTGGTGGTTCCTGGGTGGGGTGAGCCTTGGGGGCGGGGGGGGCAGGGTAGAAGCTGCCACCAAGGGCCAAGAGGCTGACTCTCATTGGGCACCTCGTCTTGGGAGTACCCTGGCTATTGGGAAGGTGCAAAATGTGTTTCTCTTGAAGCACAGATTAAAGGCAGGAAGGAAACCAGCTTAAAAAAAAAAAAAAAAAGAGAGAGAGAAAAATAAAAACAAAAAAAAGATAAGTGCACGTGATCTCCAACACTTTAGCTGGATGAACTTCTGAGATCGTATTGCACAATCTCAAGGGGAACTGAATGGTCCCTGCCCAAATTAGAGAGAGCATCATCTCCCCCAGTGCCTCAGCCAGGATCCTC